AAGATAGGTATCAATTCCTGCAGGGTTGTTGTTGTTTTTTTCCAAAAATCCAAGCCAAAAATTGAAAGCACATGCACATGCATAATCTGCTGAAAATCAGAGAAAAACATTTATCTGCCTTGGTGCTCAGAGAAGCTGGCAAGCCAGCAAGGAAAAAGTATGACATGATATACATGCAAAAAAGGGAAGCAGTTTTGAAATTATGGGGTTCATGCCTTCCCTCCTCTTCTAACTCCTTCTGCTGTTGCTTCTTCCTCTTCCTTTTCTTCCTCTTCCTCTTTTTCTTCTTCTCTATAGACAGTTTGTCGGTTATAGTTGATTGCACATGTTCTAAAAGTACATTTAGCATATATTTCTCAAAAGAAGGTACAACATTGCTTCTGAAAAAAGCTATTGACATATTCTGCACTTGTGTAGTTTTTCTTTAGAAAAATACATCTAACTGAAGACTAGAAAGCAGATCTGGCAAAGATCCCCAAGTATTATTAGAAGGAGACTGGAATAATTTTTTCTTGTGCAATGATAAGAAAGCCTAGAAACCAAAATGATCAAAAAACTAATTAAAATGTTTTCTTTTGTTCTTGAGCAAGTAGAATTTATAACAAGCAGAGACCTCTGGACACAAATATAAGAGTAAAATCTCATTTCAGATTAGATTCTTGCTGAACAAAAATCAGTAGACAGAATAAGTTTTTATCAAGACAATTTCTGCTCCATAACATTCTCAGAGAATCAAACTCGTGTGAAGATAGGCCTCCTCACTCCTTCCCCACTTTTTCAAAAGTAAATAATTATAAAATGAGGTTTTTCTATAGCCCTGTTCAGATTGATATACTGAAGAGTATGATGAGAGCTATGGAGAGGCACATAAACATCTAGTGAAAAGAACAGAAGAAAAGGCCCTTTGGACCATTCCAGAGAAGGATATGATTTGTTTCTTTTAGCACTAACCAAAATTGTGATCTGTTTTCCCTGCAGATTTCTTCCTAAGAAAGCAGTTTTCCTTCTGGCAGACTATCTTGGATTCTAATTTTGATGACTTCGGAAGGTGCATTAGAACAAATGACAACGCAGTTGAATGACAACTGTGGTGCTGTATGTTCCACAAAAATTCTTCTCAGCTGTTGGTTCATTTGATACTCAGAGGTCAGCTGTTTTGTATATTTTTCAGCCAGCTTTTTTTGCCTCTTATGTATCATACAAATATGTATGATATTCAGCAGATCATTAGATATTTCTATTAAACAAGCAGATGCAATATTGACCTGATCTGTCTTTATTTCATTTTGAAAAGATAGCAGTGTTCTATCTAGCAACATGGCAGATTACTAAATGGACATGCTCATGGCTTAATTTATGACTTGTCTCTAACCCAAAATGATAGATTAGATAGAAATATTGGACAGGGATTTATCAGATCTAAGCCCCGTCTTAGACACCAGCTGCAATATGGAAATGCTAAGCATTTCTCAAAGGTTTTGGACTTGCTTTCATCTTCTGAATCAATAGTTGACAACCAGCCTATTCAGACTAGTTTGCTTTGGTCAGATCTCACCTGGAAAACTTTGCCCAGTTCCAGGCACTACAGTATAAGAAGAATGCCAGCAAGCCGGAACTGGTCCTGAAAGAGGTGACCTGGATGGTAAAAGATCTTAAGGCCAACCTATGTGGAGCTGGATTTAGCCTGGAGAAGAAAAGATTTCAAGGTGAATATCTTCAAATATTTGAAAACTAGTCACTTGGAAGAAGGAGCAAGATTCTGCTCCTGGAATATGATCTCATTGGCTGAAAATCCATCGATCAGTAGTTTGATTCACCAGGAGACGGGATAGTTGTGGCCACCTGGACTGATGGGGTTGCCTGCTTTGCCACCTGTCTGGCCATGGGCAAGCGGCCAGTTTATACCTAGAAAATCCTGTGAGGGTCATTATATGTCAGAAACGACTTGATGGCACATAATTATTAATTATAGTGATGTGTTATATATGTAGGCTATTCTAGCAAATAGCAGCTTAGCACAGAATAAGTTTTAATTCTGGTAAGTGGTAGTCTACATTAGTGAAACAATAATTTATTTTTTTGTTTCTCTTCACACAGATGTCAGTCCAGCATCTATCCTGTATTGTAGTTTTAGAAATATAAATCTCTGAAGAGCTGCTTTGTTGCACATTTACTCAAGAAATGTTTTTCACTTTTCACCACTAGGTGGCAATTGATCTTATTTTAAGTTCTTTAGTTTTAGAATAGATCAGTGCTTCCCAACCTGGGGTATGTGTTCTCTAAGGGGTATAAACCAGGACATTTAGTGGTACACGGACAAAAAAGAATAATGGTAGAAAAACTAACATCCCTCAATAGTGTAGGTTGTTTAATTATATCCTGAGAAGTGAGAACCCCTGGGCTTCTTCCTTCCACCATTTCAATGAGCCTATTCTACTTGTAATTTACTACTATACAGTGGTGCCTCGCTAGACGATGTTAATCCGTTCCATTGAAATCGCTGTCTTGAGAAAACATCATCTAGTGAAAAGTGTTTCCCCATTGGAATGCATTGAAACACGTTTAATGCATTCCAATGGGGAAAATAGTTGTCGTCCAGCGAAAATCGCCCATACGGAAGCCATTTTGTGAAGTGCTGATCAGCTAAAAAAACACTGTCTTGCGAAGCATAGGTCCCAAAAACACCCATTTTGCGAAGATTGCCGATAGGGAAGCCATTTTGCGAAGCCAACGATCAGCTGTAAAAATCATCGTCTTGCGAAAAAACGGTTCATGAAGCATGGACCAAATCATCATTCAGCGAAATTTCCCCACTCCTACTGGGGCCCAATAATAATCTTTTAGAAATGTAGGAAACTCCTACTGGGGACCAATAATAATCTTTTAGAAATGTAGGAAATAAAACAGGCCACGAATCACACAATTTCCAGTGCTGATACACAAATACCAGGAGTATGAGAAACAAACAAAAGGAACTGGAAATCCTAGTTCAGGAGGGTAAATATAACTTGATAACAATAACTGAAACTTTATGGGATGATTCCCATGACTTAAATACAGCAATTGAAGGATATAAATTGTTCAGAAAGAACATAAAGAATAGAAAGGAAGATGGAGTAGCATTCTATGTAAAAAAAACAAACACATTTTCCTGCATAGGAATACAAGAAGATGAATTTGGTTGTCCAATCAAGAGCATCTGTATTAATATAACTAGGGCAAAAAACAAAAGGAACATGGTAGTTGGAGTCTACTACCAACTACCCTATCAAGAAGAAGATGCAGATGAAACTTTTGAAAAACAAATTGCAAGAATTTCAAAGAATCATGATATAGTAGCAGTTGGAGACTTCATTTACACTGATATCTGTTGAGGGACAAATTCTGCCAAATATGGACCTTTGTGAGAAGGAACAAGTCCCGGCTATGAAGAAGGCACATGTCGCTGCCCCTCGAACAAAGAAAAAGGCATCTAAAAGGGTACAATGGGGTGACAAGGAACAAAAAACCTTCAAGATGTGGAAAGATAAACTATGTTCACTGACAGTCTGACACACACCTGACTTTAACTTCCCCTTCAACCTTCAAATGGATTCATCAGACAGGGGGTAGGAGCTATATTAGCACAGATCAAAATGGGTGAAGAATATCCTATACTCTGAGTAAAATGCTATCACCTCAAGAACAGATATATGCCACTATTGAGAAAGAAGCACTGGCAGTTAAGTGGACCATGTAATCTTTGAAGTATTAATTACTAGGGAGGCCTTTCACACTCAAAACTGATCATGCACCCTTACAATGGCTCAGTAGGATAAAGGAGACAAATCCAAGGCTAACTAGGTGGTATCTTAGTCTGCAACCCTTTTCATTCACAGTAAAATGCAGGAAGGCAAGTGCCCACGCTAATGTAGACTATTTCTCTTGACAGGGACCTTGGGATAGGGACAACAAAGAGTGGACGGCCCACTCATTGGGGGGGGCATGTGAGAAGGAACAAGTCCTAGCCAGAAAGGAGGACGGTGAGCAATGCCCTCAAGCACCCACCACAGAGGGATACAACATAGTATACATGCTGTTGCCAGCCATAGCCCAATTAGGAGTAGAAGGAGAAAAGAGTGGGAAAGAGGAGAGATGGGGGATGAAAGGGGGAAGGATCCAGTAGTAGAGAGTTATCTAGTTAGGGTGGCTGAGGGAGAAGAGGGAGGTGAGGTGGATTGGGAGACAGAGGTGGTGAGGGAAGAAAAGGAGAAGAAGAGGGAAGAGAAGAAGGAGGATACTCCTTTAGGATGGGGATGGTTGGAGACTGAAGACCCTTGGACTCAGGAGAGAGTAAGATGAAGCTGCCAATAGAAGAAATTGAGAGAAAGCAGCAGTATCAGAGGATCAGTATGCCTGAGGGTAAGAGAGAGAAAGACAGAGGAGAAGATAAGAGAAAAAGGACAGAAGGATTTGCGATCCATTTGGGAGAAGCAGAACCCATAGAATGGACAGTGTATGTATACCCAAAGGAAGGAGATCACTGGAAAAGCAGAGCCTGGCCAATTCCGACCAATCCAACCGTGACACCTACAGAAGTAGAGTGGGCTCAGCACCCCTGTTGCGGCACCATATTTATTTATTTATTTA